AGTGAGCACAGAGAGGGGGAATTTGTCCTCAGCCCCCAAAGGAAAGAGCTTTATTTGCATTCCCAGCCCTGCCTGCAGGTGGGGAACGGGGGAATCTCTGGGTGACTTCCCCCCCCCTTTGGAGCTGAACCCCTCTGTCTGATGGGATGACAACCCCTGGGATGGGGCAATGGGGAAACAACCCTCAGGATGGGGGAACAACCCCCGGGATGGGGCAACGACCCCCAGGATGGGGCAACGACCCCCAGGATGTGGAGGTGACCACAGTCCCAGCTCGGCTTCCTCCCCCTGCCGTGTTCTGTGTCCTGCTGGAAGCAGCCCTGGAGGCGGCTCCGTGCCACTGTCCCGACCCCGGGAAGGGGGCTTTGAGATTTGGGAGCTCCGGGAAGAGGCGTCACAGCCCCCCGGGCCGTGCACAATGTCCGGAGGGGCCCTGGCTCCCGGCGGCTCCTGCTCCGGCCAATAAACTCCTGCTTGGGCAAATCAACACAGCTCCGGGCTGGCGTGGGGGTTGCGTGTCCGTCTGTCCATCCGTCCGTCCGTCCGTCCCTGCGTGTCCATCCCGCTGTGTCCATCTGTCCATGGGTCCCCGTGTGTCCCTGTCTCTCTGTCCCCGTCCCTGTGTCCCTGTCCTCATGTCCCTATCCATGTGTCCCTGTCTCCGTGTCCCTGTCCTTGTGTCCCTGTGTTCCTGTCCCTGCCCTGTCCCCGTGTCCCTCTCCCCGTGTCCGTGTGTCCGTGTCCCTATCCCTGTGTCCCTGTGTCCCTATCCCTGCCCTGTCTCTGTCCATGTGTCCTTGTCCCTGTGTCCCTGCCCTGTCCCTGTGTTCCTGTCCCTGTGTCCGTGTGTCCCTGCCCCTGTGTCCGTGTGTCCCCGTGTCCCTGTGTCCCTGTCCCCATGTCTCTATCCGTGTGTCCCTGTCCGTGTGCCCCCGTGTCCGTGTGTCCCTGTCCCCATGTCCCTGTCCGTGTGTCCCCGTGTCCGTCTGTCCCCGTGTCCGTGTGTCCCTGTCCCCATGTCCCTGTCCGTGTGTCCCCGTGTCCGTGTGTCCCTGTCCCCATGTCCCTATCCGTGTGTCCCCGTGTCCGTGTGTCCCTGTCCCCATGTCCCTATCCGTGTGTCCCCGTGTCCCTGTGTCCCTGTCCCCATGTCCCTATCCGTGTGTCCCCGTGTCCGTGTGTCCCCGTGTCCCTGTGTCCCTGTCCCCATGTCCCTATCCGTGTGTCCCCGTGTCCGTGTGTCCCCGTGTCCCCGTGTCCCTGTCCCCATGTCCCTATCCGTGTGTCCCCGTGTCCCTGTCCCCATGTCCCTATCCGTGTGTCCCTGTGTCCCTGTCCCCATGTCCCTATCCGTGTGTCCCCGTGTCCGTCTGTCCCCGTCCGAGTCCCCCCGTTGTATCCCCGCATGCGGCCGCCAGGGGGGCGCTCTCTCCATGGAGCGGTGGATTGGCCTCGCCCCCTCTCGGGGTAGCCATGACAGCTGCGCATGCGCGAGACGGGGGGGTTAAATGGGGCTGGAAACCGGGGAGGCGTGGCCACGCATGCGCGGGAAAGGCATGGGCGGGATGGGGCGGAGTCTGCTGTGTGGAGGGGGCGTGTCCGGGGGCGTGGCCATGCGCGGGCTCTCCCGCGCCGTCCGACTCATGGCGGGGACCGGGGTCGGGACCGGAGCCGGGATCGGAGGCTCCGGAGGCTCCTCCATGGCCGGAATCGGGCCCGGGGTCTCCGTCGCCACCGCGGCCGGGCAGAAGCGGCCGCACCCCGAGCCCACCCCGCTCATCGGCACCCACGACGGCACCTTCCACTGCGACGAGGCGCTCGCGTGTTTCCTGCTGCGGCTCCTGCCCCGCTACCGGGTACGGTCCCGGGCTCCATGCAGCGGCACCGGCGCTGCCGGTGCCCAGCTCCCTCCTCGGGTCTCCCCTGTGACCTCGCTCGGGGCTCCCAGTCCCACCTGCGGCCACCGTCGGGTCTCCCGGACCCGCGTGGGGGTCCTTGGGACCCACCCGCTGGGTGCTCGGGGTCCCGCCTGGGGGTCACCCTGAAGCCCCTCCTCGGGGTCCCTTGTCACCTGGGGGTCACCCTGAAGCTCTCAGCCCCTCCTCGGCGTCCCCGGTCCCCGGGGGCAGCTCTCGGGGGTCTCCGGTGCTCCGGGGGACCCTCATGCTCCGCGTGCCCCCCGGCAGGACGCGGAGGTGGTGCGGACGCGGGACCCCCAGCGCCTGGCCCAGTGTGACGTGGTGGTGGACGTGGGGGGCGAGTACGACCCCGAGCGGCACCGCTACGACCACCACCAGAGGTGAGACCCACCCCCGGCCCTCCCGCTCCCACAGCGGCGTCCCCGGGGGTCCCTGGGGCTGACCCTGGTGGCCTGCAGGTCCTTCACAGAGTCCATGAGGAGCCTCCGGCCCGACAAGCCCTGGAGCACGAAGCTGAGCAGCGCCGGGCTGGTCTATTGTCACTTCGGCTCCCAGATCCTGGCGGCGCTCCTGGGGCAGCCGGAGGACGGGCCCGTGGTCACGGCGCTCTACGATAAGGTACGGGTACAGCTCTGCCCAAGGCTGCTCCTTTTGGTGGGAGGTCGCTCCACAAGAGATTCCAAGGAAGAGGCAACAGTTCGTGGCAGCTGCTGGTGTGTGGTTGGGCCCTGCTGTGCCCCCCCAGTGCTATCCCCATTGTCCCCTCTCCTGCTTTCCCCCCCATTTTCCTCCTGCTGTCCCCTCACTGTTCCCTCCTTTGCTGTCCCCTTCTTTCCCCTCTGTCCCCTCACAGTCCCATTGTCCCCTCACTGTCTCCTCCTGTCCCTCCACTCTTCCTCTGCTGTCCCCATTGTCCCCTCACTGTCCCCTCACTGTCCCCCCCAGCTCTACGAGAACTTTGTGGAGGAGATCGACGCCATCGACAACGGGATCGCGCAGGCGGAGGGGGAGCCCCGCTACGCCCTCACCACCACCCTGAGCGCCCGCGTGGGGCACCTGAACCCCCGCTGGAACGACCCTGACCAGGACACCGAGGTGGGCACGGGCACCATGGCCCCTCAGGGACACCTGGTTCAGGGACACCCAGGATGGGGACACCTGGCTTGGGGACACCCAGAGTGGGGACACCTGGGATGGGGACACCTGGGATGGGGACACCCAGCTCAGGGAACCCCTCTGACCCCCCGCTGTGCCCCCAGGCAGGGTTCAAGCGGGCAATGGAGCTGGTGGGGAGTGAGTTCCTGGACCGACTCGACTTCTACCACCGGGCCTGGCTGCCGGCACGGGCACTGGTGGAAGAGGCCGTTCGGCGCCGCTTCGAGGTACCACCCACTGGTCTGGGGGGGTCTGAAAGTTGGGGGGCAGCTTTGGGGTGTGGGGAGGCCCAATTGCCTCAGTATGAACGTCCCTGCATGGCACTGCAGCCCCCACTGTGCCCCACACAGGGCTCTGTACCCCCACAGGGCTCTGCACCCCTGCTCTGCATCCCTGTAACCCCCACAGGGCTCTGCACCCCCACTCTGCCCACCCTTCTCCCCACCCCATCCACACCCCCCTACACGTGTGGGGGTCTCTGAGCCCCAGGGGGTGAAGCTGAGCCCCGGGGCCATTTGGGGGCTCTGGGGTCGGTCCCCCAGAGTGCCCGTGGTGTCCCCCCTCCCAGGTGGACTCGAGTGGGCAGGTGCTGGAGCTGCCCCAGGGGGGCTGCCCCTGGAAGGAGCACCTTTTCCAGCTGGAGAAGGAGCTGGCCCTGCCCAGGCCACTCCAGCTCGTGCTGTTCCCGGACCGGGGCGGGCAGTGGCGGGTTCAGAGCGTCCCCACGGGACCCCACACCTTCCAGAGCCGGTGAGACCCCTCCTCTTGCACTGTGTACCCCCACTCTGCCCCCCTGTGCCCCCCCCACAGCTCTGCACCCCCATTCTGCCCCCCTGTACCCCCCTCTACCCCCAGTACCCTCACTCTGCTCCCCCTGTACACTTCACCTCAGCTCTGCACCCCTACTCTGCCCCCTGTACCCTCACTGCCCCTCTCTGTACCCCCACTCTTCCCCTCTGTATCCCCCCCATGGCTCTGCACCCCCATTCTGCCCCTCTCTGTACCCCCACTCTGCCCTCTGTACCCTCATTCCACCCCCCTGCAATCCCCCCAGAGCTCTGTACCCCCACTCTACCCCCTGTACTCCCATTCCACCCCACCTGCACCCCCCC